CCCTAAAATGGCTGTCTTAAATGTCTAAACCTTTTTTGTCTAACCCTCAAGCCAAGAGAGGAGGGCTCCTCTTATAGAGAAGCCAATCTTGTAAAGCTTACAAGGTAAGCTAACAAGAAGGCCATCCCTCCATACATGTATGGAGGGGACAAAATGCCATACAGCTTTTTAAAATATCTGCAAAAGCAGATGAACAGTAGTCCGGCGCTCAAAAATTGCCATTTTGACAAAATTGACTGCGACCGGCAACAAAGAATGCCGACCGGCAATATACATTGCCGATGGCAACAAAACACCAGCCGGTGGCCTCTGGCATGGCCGGTGATGTGTGGGGATGCCTCACAAGGCATTCCCTGCCCCTCCAAGGCAAAAACACAAGTGTTTGGTGCAGAACTAGACACTAAAACAGTCGAGTTCGAGACTTGAGGCAAAGCGCGTAGCCGAGACCTCCGGAACTCCAAACGAACACAAACATGATGATCACCGAGTGTCAAACGGTGACGTCCAAGTTCTGAGGACGGTCAAAATGGGGTGTCTACACCTGGACGGGATAGAATGGGAGAAGGTGAATCTCCTGGCCTGCAGTTCCATCGACTTTGCCTTGCAAAAAGGGAAAGTACGCCTTCACAGAATATGATATTGCGAAAGAGCTTTGGAAGGCGCTGGAAGATAAATTCATGACAAAGAGCATGAGAACCGGCTCTACTTGAAGACGAGGTTGTTTCGTTTTGACTATAAGAAAGGTATTTTGATGAATGAAACACCTAAAACAACTTCAACAAAATTCTTACGGATTTGAAAAACTTGGATGATCATATTGGTGATGAAGATTAAACACTGTTATTGTTGAATTCCTTGCCTGACTTATATGATCTCTCACCACCACTTTACTGTACAGTAAAGAAAAGATCAAGTATGTTGATGTTGCAAACGCCTTGGTAAATAATGAGTTCAGAAGGAAAGATAAATCTGCAAACAGGGACTCAACATCCAAGGCATTGACAGTCAGAAGGCAGAACAAATAACAGGAGATATACAGGCGAGGAAAGTCTGCTCAAAATCCATAGGGAAATCATCGGATAGAAGACGTCTTGCAAAAGACGAGTGTGCTGCTTATCGCCAGGAGGGGCATTGGGCAAAAGATTGTCCCAATAAAGACAAGAAAGAAGAAAAGGTGAACGTTGCACGAGATGGAGATAATGTGAAGGATCAACCTTCACAGTTTTATCATATGGCCAGTCTGATGAATGGATTATAGATTCCGGATGTTCCTACCACATGTGTCTGAAACAAGCAGTGGTTCTCGAGCTTACGAGAGTTCGATGGAGGAGTTGTGCTGATGGGCAATGACCAAGCTTGCCAGACAAAGGGGATTGGAACAATTCGACTGAAGATACATAATGGAACAATCAGAATTTCTTGAAGATGTTCGGTATGTACCAGAATCTGACAAAGAATCTCATCTCAATGGGAGTTTTAGACTCCAAAGGTTACAGAGTAACTATGGAATGTGGAGTCCTCAAAGTTGTTCGAGGAGCATTTGTTGCAATGAAGGGTTACTCGACAAGGAAATTTATATTTCCTAGACGGCTCTACAGTCACAGGGAGAGCGGCTGTCTCCACCAACTCAGAAGATGGTGCATTAGACACTTCCAGACTTTGGCACATGCGCCTAGGGCATGTCGGTGAGAAGGCTTTACAAGGGTTGTAAAGCAAGGCTTGTTGAAAGGCGCCAAAACAGGGAAGCTTGAGTTTCTGCAAGCATTGTGTACTGGGTAAGCAAACAAGAATCAAGTTTGTACTGTTATTTATCGTACCAAAAGGATTCTAGACTACGTTCACACCGATGTATGGGGTCCTTCCAAGAATGCTTCATTGGGAGGTAAACACTACTTTGTGTCGTTCATTGATGATTTCTCAAGAAGAGTTTGGATTTACACAATGAAGCACAAAGACGAAGTCTTAGACATTCTTTCTTATGTGGAAGAAATGATTGAGACCCAGACAGGCAGAAAGATCAAGAAGCTCAGATCTAACATATGGTGGGGAATACCATCAGATCCCTTCTTAGAGGTTTGCAGAATGCAGGATAGTGAGACATTTCATAGTTCCTGGAACACCGCAGCAAAATGAAGTTGCAGGAACGCATGAACTGCACATTGGTGGAGAAAGTTCGGTGTATGCTATCACATTCAGGATTGAGCAAGGCATTTTGGGGCGAGGCATTGAACTATGCTCGTCATCTTGTCAACAGACTACCTACTACAGCACTAGATGGCAAGACTCCCATGGAGGTAGGTCAGGAGTGTCAGCTACTGATTATGATCAGCTATGTATCTTTGGATGTCCAGCTTATTTTCATGTTACAGAATCTAAGTTGGATCCAAGAGCCAAGAAAGCATCTTCTTGGGCTTCAGTGATGGTGTCAAGGGATACAGACTCTGGTGCCCTGAATCAAAGAAAGTTGTCACTAGAAGAGACGTTACCTTTGATGAGTCTACAATGCTGAAGCAACCAAATTCTCAAGAAAATGATGAAGCATTAAAGAGTCAGTGCAGGGTGGAGTTTGAGACTCCAGCAAAGACTGTTCAGACAGACAATAATCCTGAAGAAGTTTCACTTGGACAGCTCTGAAGAGAGATCAGATGAAAATGAAGATCCAGAGGGCCCACAACAGTCAGGAACCCATTGCAATAGAAAAGGAAAAAAGGTTACTAAGCAACCAGTTGGATGACCGATATGGTAGCCTATGTACTTCCAATTCATTTGAAGACAATGTTCCTTGCACTTTCAAAGAAGCCGTGCAGCATTGCAGAAAGTGTCAATTGGAAGGAGGCTATGGATGAAGAGATCGGGTCACTTCACAAGAACCAGACTTGGGAGTTGGTGCAACTTCCAAAAGGAGAAAGTAATTGGTGTAAGTGGGTTTTACACAAGAAAGAAGGCATCCCAGGCAAAGACAACATCAAATTCAAAGCTAGATTGGTAGCTAAAGACTATGTCAAAGGAAGGAATAGACTACAATGAGGTATTCTCACCTGTTGTGAAGCACACGGCTATTCATATCTTGTTAGCTTTGGTTGCACAGTTTGATCTCAAGCTCCACCTAACTTAATGTCAAAAACTGCCTTTTTACATGGAGATCTTGAAGAGGAGATATACATGTCCCAGCCAGATGGTTTCAAAGTTGCTGTGAAAAGAAAATTGGGCCTGTAAGCTAAACAAATCGTTGTATGGAATGAAGCAATCCCTGAGACAGTGGTACAAAAGATTTGATCGATTCATGATAGAGAAAGAACACACAAGAAGTCAATTTGATCATTATGTATATTTCCGTAAATTCCAATGGTTCCTTCATCTATTTGCTCTTATATGTGGATGATATATTAATTGCATCTAAGCGCAAGGTGGAGATTGACAAACTCAGGGCACAGTTGGCAAGAGAGTTTGAAATGAAGGATTTGGGAGAAGCAAAGAAAATTCTTGGCATGGAGATCAAGAGAGACAGGAAGAAGAGGTACGGTTTGTTCTGACACAAACTAGATCTAAAATAGGTTTAGACAAGATTTGGCATAAATGGGAAAAAAAAGCTTGAGTACACCATTGAGCCCCTTATTTCAGGCTTAGTGCTTCGATGTCTCCCGCGCACAGAAGAAGAACGAAAAGCATTATGACACAGGTTCCATATGTAAATGCAGTTGGGTGCATTAATGTATGCTATGGTTTGTACAAGGCCTGACATCTCGCATGCTGTGAGTATGGTAAGCAGGTATATGCTATGATCCAGAAAAAGATCCTGTAGGCAAGCGTGAAATGGATCCAAAGGTACATACATGGCACGGTTAATCTGGGATTGAAGTTTGAGAGAGATAACCGACTGGACAGAATTTAGTTGGATATTGTGGACTCAGATTTGTTGTGTGACTTGGAAAACGCCGATCAACATACAGGGTATTTATTTACGCTTGCTAAAGGGGCCGTGAGTTGGAGGTCAACGCTTCAGTCAAAGTGGCTTTGGCTACTACAGAGGCAGAGTACATGGCAGTGACGGAAGCCTTTAAGGAAGCTATTTGGCTACATGGGATGATTGAGGGCTTGGGTATTGTTTTAGAAGCACGTTGAGGTGTACTGTGACAGTCAGAGTGCCATTTGTTTGGGCAAAGAACCAGGTTCACCATTCCCGCACCAAGCACGTTGATGTCGTTTCCATTTTCATCCGAGAAATTGTGAATGAAGGGGATATTCTGCTTCAAAAGATTAGTTACTACAGATAATCCGGCCGATATGCTCACAAAGTGGTTTCTGGGATCAAGTTCCAACATTGTTTGGACTTGTGTCAACATTTCTCGGAACTGAGCACCTTTGGGGTGCCAGGCAGTGTTGATCGATCACTATGTTGGATAAGAGAATCTCGCCAAGGTGGAGATTTGTTGAAGATTGGCTAAAGATTCAGCTTGCCAAAGCCATGCCAAGGCTGGCCATGTGATCTTGCCAAGTAGCAACATGCTTGCCAACTTACTAAGTCACAAAGATGATTCTCCTGTGCTACAAGCATGTTCCAACCAACATGGACGGCCACCGAAAGAGAGAAGAAGTGAGCTGGCCATGTGCAAAGCCAGCCTCTCCACCTCCATCTGTAATGTGTAATAAATGGAGAGGGTGAGAGCAGAGAAAAATACAGTGTGTGAGTGAACATTATTCATGAAGTGTATTGTTTGTAATTCTTCCATTTCTCTTCCATATAGTGAAATCCGCTGCCATGACGTAGGCGACTTGCCGAACCACGTTAAAACTCTTGTGTTATTGCTTGTTTGTGTTTCCTAGTGTGCCCCTCGATCCACAACACTAATTGGTTCTAAAGGAACATAGAAAGTTGTTAAATCGGATAATAGAGGGAGAGGGAGAAGAGAGAGGTTCGAAAGGGAGACTAGTTCAGCGCGCAAGATTTCGATTTGGAACGGTGTGCTCCCTTCGGCGGTGGGACTGGTTCAGCGATGACAACGATCGACGGTTCAGAGGGAAAGGTTTCGTTCTTGAGGTATGTTTGGATTCCCCCTTCCCCTCTTTTTTCTCTCTCTCTCTCTCTCTCCTCCTCTTTCCATTTTATTCGGTTAGTTCTCTGACTTACATAGCGAGAATAGTTACAAGAGGAAGTGAAGAATTTTATAGGTCGAATCCGATATCAATCCATGAGACCAAAAAAAACTCAGCCCTTAAGGAATTTTTTTTTTAATCATAAATTAGTAGAAAATCTGTGATTAAAAATTTTGTTTTCTTTTTTTTTTTAAAACCAAATTACCATAGTGTAGATTTTACACATTCTATCATTTGTCTTACAAAGTTGCCCAACCAATGGCCTGCCTTCAATTGAAAAAAAAAAAAAAAGAAAGGATGGCGATTGTAGGAGTGGGAGCAGAACCGTTTGGTCATTACTTTCTTACATTTTTTTTTTTTTTCAATCTCAACCTATGTTTCTAACCACCATTAGTGAATTAGTGCTACTACGTAGTGTGTTGGCTTTTGGTTCATAGGAACTCAATTGTTTTGTGAGTTTTTTTTTATTTTGGTTTTTTAGGTTCCTTGAGTATATACAAGTGTGAATGCCAAACTTCTGAGTTACGAAAAACATCTGTTATACATGATGCAAACAGTGGATTATTTACCTTTTTCTTTCTTTTTTTGTTTTTAGCTTTGTGCATTGTCAATGGAAGCAATCCTGTCGTTTTGGTGTGCAATGTGATTATATTATATGTTAGTACATGGTCCACTGTTTAAATTTTAGTATTATTATCAATTTTTTTCCACTTTTCACCTTTCTGATTATTATCTCATGTGCACCAACCACAAAACACACAAATGGTGGCTGCTAGTTTTTTTTTCTTTGGGCCACTGGAATGATGTATGAAGTGGGAAATGGATTTGAAAACTTCTGAGATTATTAGGGATGTTGTCTCTACTTTTATAATGGTGTTGTTTGCTGTTAATTTAAATGAGCCATTTATGATGATCTCTATTTTGGATTTTGTACAGTTTATGTGATAATTATAAGTTTTAAAATTTTATTTTTTTAATAAGTTATTAACTTTTAACTAAATAAAATATTAGCAAACATGCTTTCAAAATGATGAGTGAGATTCGGAGGATAGCATAGTGATATTTTAGTTTTGGGGGGGGCATCCTTGTCCGTCCTCCACAATGAGGGGACAAAAATTAAGTCTTATGGTATGATTAACTACTAAATAATTCTTCATTCAATAAATTGACTGAAAAACAATGATCACCATATCTTTCCTTGTAGGTTTCATAGAGCCAAACCTGTTGGAGCTCTGAATCGTATGCTATTAGTGGATGTATACACACTTCTGTTTGCTTAAATCAATATAGATAAGTTGGTTAATCTTTTGGAGATGAAGATGACTAGTATAAGCAAAAGCATGCTAATATTGTTTAAAGAATTGTTTCTGGGTGGTGATAAAATTTAAGCATATGGTGTTTGGTTAAATGCCACAGAAACAAAGATTTGCATTATACAGTCAGCAACCATTTCCTAAACTTTGAATTTTTTGTGCATGACACTTCTTAATGGATCTTCAGAAGAAAACAATTTGCATATTTAGTTTATGGCCTAACCTTGTGAGTGTTTATGAGACTATCAGAATTTTAGCATTTGCCATATAAAATACCAAGTAAAATTGCAGAATGCAAGTACTTCAAGTTTGGAATTTGAATTAAAAGGCCAAATATCCATTATCTACATACTAAAATTATCTGCAAGGTAATACTAAAATGGTTTCAATTTCCTGCCACATAACATAAATATAAAATAAAAAAAAAAGTTACAGCGAAAGGCTGTAAAATTACAATTGAACTGTTGCTCCAATGATCATAACTAGAAAACATGTTCAATTTTCCATCTGCTGCACCATACTACTTAATAAACTCTTCCTCCCCTGCACTAGGTGACTAGATAGAAAACCAACTAAGACTTTAAACTACATTATTTGATTAGTCCTCATATTACATCTGGAAAACTATATGTAAGTTGATGTGATAGTTATATGTACACATATATCTCATTAGTTGGTTATACTCTCATTAGCTGTGATAGTTATATCAAATCTGATATTTTTTAATATAACAAAGTCACATGCATATAAACACTACCATAATGTTTTCAATTTGCAATTCTAATAATTGAAAAAATGTAGTTAATATATAAATCCTTGCTTTCCAATGTTTTAAAATATGCTGTGGTATGTCAAACCTGCCCTATTGGTATATTATTGTAGAACTTGAACCGTCCAATTGCTAGGTACTCATTTTAGTTGGTTTGGGTTTTTCTTATTGTTTGTTACCAGTCTCCATGGGCCGATTCGAGTTTATGTGTTGTGATGTCTTCACTTGATATGTTTAAATGCATTTGTGTCCGAATAGGTGTCAAGCCTAATGCATCTGGAAGTAGCCTTATTTGTGTTGCTTTTGGAGTGTGTGAATGGAGCGGAATAAGAGAAGATTGGGTGTTTGTTCCTCTGTTTTGTTTTGTCTTTTTTTTTTTTTTTTTTTTTTTTTTTTTTGGGGTGAATAAGTCATAAAATGAAACAAAAGAAAGATTACAAAATACAAGGGTGCCATGCCCCAGGGCCTACGACTATACAGGCAAGAAATGAGCAAACAGACTAAAAAACAAATAAAGGCTACAAGGTAGCCATAACACCAAAACAAACCAAACACCATTACACCTATCAACCTCCCTATTACATAACAAAATAAGAACCTGAACAAGCATAGATTAAACTAATCTCGGGACTACATGATAGCAAAAAACTCCCAGACCACACTAACAACTGCTACATAGCAGCACATGAGCAACAGCCGGCAAAAGCCATAGTGCAACAGGCAGTACAGTGGCAGCATAGCAGATCAGCAAACAGAGTATTAAGGGCAGTGCGAAATTTGCACAGCAGAGTAGAAAGAGCAGCAGCCTAGCAGCAAACTTCCATAGGCAGCAGCACACAGCAGAAGATAAAATAATATATCTTTCAGATCGCCCATAAGGAAACGTCTTATACTGAATGCAACATCAAAATTAGATAACCAAAAAGCCAACTATGCTGCAATATCAGAATTTAAAAAAGAACACCCAACAATCCTATCTGAGAACTACTTCAAAAAATGGCGCATCTTTGCGTTGGCCCTGGCTGAGAATCCTCCATAAGTCTAACCAATATTAGACAACTCCATTCAAACCTTAATGAGCCACCCCAGACATTGCCCTGTGAGCAGCAACGAAAAGGAAAAACACAACCTACAGTGAGCTATGTTTTGCCTGTGCAGAACTACTAAGCGAACCTCACAAACTCAAAACCACACAAAACACAAAGACACTCAAGCTCAACCCTTCTACTCTCCCAGTCAGAATTGATGGACAAGTGAAGAACAGAAACAAAAAAAAAAGATAGCAGTAAGCCAAAATACAACCAACTCTAAATATAGTACTCCCATCACTCAACCCACGACCAAAAATTTCCTATGCAATGTGTACCAACAAAGAACAGTCAATCAGCTTCTCCCAATCAGTCACTAAGACCTCACCAAACCTTCTATAACAAAGTTCCAGCCCAAACAAACCTGATAGAAGAGGTTTAGAAAAGTTAGGACTTTTCTTCACTCAACCCTCAATCCCACATATCTCGACTGCCTAATTTTGGACTCACAGTCACTCAACCCTCTATTCCTAACATAAGGCCAGCTTGGCGACCTACAGTGTTCCTCTGTTTTGTTTTGTCCAGCTAGTGTTTTGGCTCCTCACAACATTGTGCTTTTTCATTTTCTTATTTTCTCTCTTTCTTCTTTCCTCTTTAGTTGATTGTTAATCTCATATGAAATGTACTTTCTTCATCAATAAAGATTCTGTTTTACTGATTAAAAAATCTGGGTGCTTTGTGGGGTTTAAAAGTTAGGAGAAAAGTGGTCTTGCTTTGCGTTATATTGCGCATTTATATCAGCTAAATTCTAGACTTCATCAATTTTCGGCAAAGTTGAAATTGAGTTCTAGCGATGGTCACCAATGACTGAGTTTTCTTTTCTATCAAACAACCATGATTTCAGGGTACCTTATGAAGTTTGGGTTGTTTTCATTTTATGGATCATAGGATAGCTGGTGGTTGATGCTGCTGCATGCTGTCAAATTTGCTGCTGTTGTAATGCCCAGGGAGTTGTGTTGTTACAGATTAGATTTTGCATCAGGTGGAAGTTTGAGCAGACAAGGGAGTTTGAACAGCCTTTTGGGAGGTTTGAGAACGTGTTATTTGGTGCGTTGCAGAGTGTGTGTTGTTGGTTGATTGATGTTTGCCTCTTCTAATTTAATTTGGCTTTGGTTGCACTTGATGCAAAGGGTGCTGCTGTTTTGCTCATGATTGAGATGGGTTTTTTATGTTTTTGGGTCTGAGTTGGTTTTGGTGCTTTCTTGTGTGTTTGTTGTAATTCATTTGGTGTTTGTTTTGTCTGTTCTAGTTGCTTTGTTTTCGGTTTGGTTTCTTACCGCTTTTATGGTATGTGCTAATAAGTGATTAGGTGTGCATTCAGTATATGCTCGATTTAGTTGGCTGAGACTGAAAGGACCCTTTCCTTTATTCACTCAACAACGGGAGATACCAAAGAAGATATTCAACGATAAGTTAAACCTACTAAATAATGGCAAATGTTTCGTTTAAATTTTCAAACTAAGAAATGTTTTACTATTTCAAATTACTAATGTAATGGAACATGCTAATCTCTTTAGAGTTTTACAAGCTATTATACAAAATTGGGGACTAAATTTTGCCATTTTACAGAGTGCAAATTGGGTTGGGTAGAGTTGGGTCCGAAGTTCAAGTCAGCTCAACCTAAAATATACATGTTGCCAAATCAAACTGCATGATTTTTAATTCACTATGCTTTCCCTGAGATCTAAATTATTAAGTATATGGCCTTTTCTATTAATGTCAACTAAATTAGGTCATTAATCAGAGGTTCAAATGCAATTCTTTGTTAAGTCAC